GATGAGGGCAATGAATGTACAAATGTGCTTTACACAATTGATGTATGTATGGATGGTGATAAGAGTTGTATGAGCCCCTAATAAAATCATTAAAAAAGAAACTTTAAAATACATCATAAGCTAGTTATTATAAAAATACTCCACAGGCAAGTTAAGTTGTAGCATTTATGTTTTCATCAGACCATTTGAATAATTTTGTGATTTTTAGAAATGCTATAATTTCTCACCTGATGTTGTCCCTAGCCATGTTCATGCTGAGATCTGATTTGTTGTAAGAAACATGCCAAACTCTTTTGACTTTTACTCTATATTAATTAATATTAATAAATATTAACATTGATAGTTAACAGAAAACAAAGATTCCCTAGTCTTAATAGACTGCGTACCATTCTTCCAGTTGCCGCTCATGGAGTGACTTGCGATCCCTCTCTTTCCTCTCTTGAACAGTCTCGCCACAGTACCTCTGCAGCAGCACCAACAGGCTTCCAATAGGGGTACTAAGAGGAAGCAAAGAGAGAGTGTCAAGGGAAAAGCCATTGGGCCAGCGACAGCTGAGGCAAGTGCCACTCCACGGCATCACTTACTCAGAAACAGCTACAGGAACATTTGACAATTAAAGCCCCCTTGACAGATAAAGAAAAAAATACTGAAGCCATTTCCTCCCTGGTCTGAACAACAATCATTGCAAAGCCTTAAAGTTAGTTGGTGTAAGCAACAACAGGTCTATCCGCTGGTTCTGTTTGGGTTTTGAATCATGAGTGACAAATAAGGACAAGGAAGGAAAGATGTGCATTTGTGAAAAATTCTAGGTGGTTCCATATTGCAGGCTTCTCGAAATGAAACTGAAGGTTTAGAATAGTACCAGCCTTCTTAGACAAAACCACTGATACTAAGCCGGTCCCCATGACAACTGTAGAGAGGGCTTCCAAGGCTACAAATCTTCACAGGAGCAGACAGCCTCTTCCTTCCCAAGCAGAGTGATCAGTGGCTTTGAGTTGCCAGTCTTTTTATTTAGGGGGAGGAAATGCTACTGACTTTGGGGAAATGAAGGCAGCAAACTTTTTACAATCCAAGAATCTGGTACAACTGTCTGCCCCCAAATGCCCGAAATCACTCCTGGAGAAACTCATTCATAGTTGTTAGAGTGATACAGAGGATTTGTCCTTGTTTGCTCAGAGAAAGAACTTCTGAATCTGAGGTAAGTTCAATTTCATCTGCTACACCAAAGCAGTTTCATTTTAAACTCATCTTTGCTGGTAACTTCAGTTTCTTTTTCCTTTAATTCAAGCTGGTACATTAACATGACAACAAAAATGCCATCAATGGATATGAAATGCAGAATAAAAAATAAAAAAAAGAATCCCTAAGTCTACGAATATCGCCCCCTCCTAATAGAGGGGTAGGAAGGTAGGTAGGTGGAAAGGAAGGGGAAGCTATTCTATTCTATTCAAAAGGATACCAATTAATAAAAAGAAAAGCATAGCCGAACTAGCCAATTGATATTTTATAATCATCGTTTAATAACTGATGACAGCATGGATCACCAATGAATGCTAAAAGTACTCAGTGACAGACAGTTGGGGGTGGAATCGATGACAAGGATCAACATATAACCTCCTCCCTGGGGGATGGACAGTGGAGAAATGGGTGAAGGGAGATGTCGGACGGTGTAAGATATGACAAAATAATAATAATTTATA